CGGCCGGCCCCCGTGCTGGGGTAGGGGACATCATGGTTGGCACCTTGTGGCCACCTCCCAGGCTGCTCTGCCGTGTCCGTGCCAGCTGTGGGCACGGATTGTGTCCTTTCCTACCCACAGGGACAAGGGGAACCTGTGTGTATGTGTGTCCATGTGTCTGTGCACGAGGGGTACTATTTAATGTCTGTATTAGCACTATCTACACACCCAGGAGCTGAGGTCCTTATATATACCCCATTCCATGCCTTGGCTCAGCGAGCAGCAAGGGGCAAAACAATTTGGCAGGTGGGACAGAGACACCTTCATGGTGGCTCAGATGCCTGAGTGCAGTGGGCCTGGCAGGTGCCTCCCTCCCATCTCAGCCCCATCCTGTACATGATGCAAGGCCAGGAGGCCACTGCTAGCCCAGAGCCCACACCAGGATGGCATTGGGTAGGCCAGGTCACCACCCAAAACCCAGAAGGTGTTGGGGGTTTTGCAGAGTGAGCCCCCAGAGGGGGGTGCAGGGACACGGTGTGATCCATCCCTTGCTGCCAACCACCACTGTGCCTGTGGTGTCCCTGCCTGGGGACCATGCAGCTGGTGGGAGAAGACAACTCCAGGAAACATCTGGGGATGTGCCTGGGGTTATTTTCCTCCCCTCTTGGATTCTGGGGAGCCGTTTTCCTGCTGTCTCTTCCTTCAGGCCTGTGGCAGCTGGATTGTGGGACCGAGGGTGAGGGTGTAGATGGAACCTCTGACACGACCATCACTGCCAGCCCCAAACCTCGCTGCTTGTCCCCAGCTGTCCTGGGGCCGTGTCCCCTTCAGTGTTCGTAATAAACCGAGACTGGTGAGAAGTGGAGCCGTGTCCTTTGTACTGGTGAACAGCAGGGGGGGTACGGGAGGAGGAAATTCTTTGCTGTGAGGGTGGTGAGACCCTGGCCCAGGCTGCCCAGGGAAGCTGTGGCTGCCCCATCCCTGGCAGTGTTGAAGGGCAGGTTGGATGGGGCTTGGAGCAACCTGGGCTGGTGGGAGGTGTCCCTGCCCATGCAGGGGGGTTGGAATTGGATGATCTTGAAGGTCCTTCTGACCCAAACCATTTTGTGATTCTGCAATCCAGGGGTTGGTCCCGGTGGGGACATGGAGATCTGGGGACACCCACCAAGGTCTGGGCTCTGGTTCTGTGACCAGCCTGCCCTTGGGGACGGGTGCCAGAGACAAATCCTGTCCTGTGGGGCTGCTTCTGCCCCAGTGCATGAATGATCCCTGCAGCACGGGGGTCTGCCCTGGCTGCAGGAGGCACCTTGGGAAGTTTACTGGGAAAAATGTCAGTAAGGGATGAGATATTGGTCCCTTCATCCCTTGGTTGATGGAAAAAAAAGACAAACTTCTCTTCCTCTAAAATTTGTTCATTAGCTCAGACAAAAATATATACAGCTGGTGGGAGAGCCCTGCTAGTACAGCCCAAGCCTGTGTCCACTCTCCCTCCCATCCCTCTCAGACCATGTCCACGTTATCCTGCCTCCCTCTCAATCAGCAGCACTGATTCCTGGTGGCATCTTACAGGTGGTTCAGATGTTCCTCGGGGAAGCTTTGGCCTGCTCTGGGCCATCTCCCCCCATCCCAGAATGTCAACACAAAGGTTGCTTAGTGCCAGGCTCACCATGGGTTGTCACCATGGGTGGTGGTCTTCAGCCAGACACTGGTGGCAGCAGAAAGCTCTCCATTGCTGAACCTGGTGAGGCTGGGTGGTAGGATGTCTGGAGAATGTTGGGACTTCCTTTTCAAACCTGATCCCTGAGGCCAGCTCCTGGGATCCACCAAGAAGTCCTTGAACCACCACAGCCTCCTGCTGCTACCAGAAGGTCCAGGGGGGCTGCATCATTTCGTAGGTGGGAATGCTGGTGACGTTGACAGGGATGGAGATGACAGCCCAGGGGAGCCCGTGCTGCTCCAGGGAACGTCTGATCATGTACCTGGAAGGATACAAAGGTGCCAGACACATGTGAGGTGGGAGAGTGGAGCCCAGACACCAGCATAAACCACAAACCAGCTCAAAGAGAAACTCTATGGTTTAACTATGACTGAATCCACTAAAATCCTGGTTCCCCGAGGCCCAGCGGGACACGCCAACCTCTGGGACCTCCCTGTTTTGTGGGGACAAGGCTGTCTTCTTGGCCCTCCCAGGGAGGTGTCCCACACTTGGGGAAGATGAAACACCCCTTGGGCACGGCACCTACCCGTCCCTGCCCAGCAGGAAGAGCGCGGGGATGTCGGCCGTGCGCCTGGTGCTGTCCTGGATCATCTCGATGTAGAAGCTGTCGTTGTCGTAGGCGTTATCGGCGATAATCACCGCCCGCCCGCCGTGCTCCTGGATCACACGGGTCTTCGACAGGAACGAGCAACCCCTGGTGGCAAGGCAGGGACAAACCCGTGGGGGCTGCGGGCAGATCCTCGGCAGAGAAGCGCCAGAACTTCCCTTGGGAATGCTCGAACCAGGGGTTGTCTCCCTGGATCTGTGTCTTCCCCATGAAAACCCTGCTCCTCTCCCGAGTCCATGCGTCAGGCACAGGCTGCCCACACCCCCTGCCAACCTTCTCCTACATAAAAATAAAACCCAGCAGGGGTTTCTCCAGCTTAGTGCAGGCTGGTATCTAAGAGGCACAACAACAAAAAACGCTCAGGGGTAGGAGCACCCTCGTGTTTTCCTCGAATGCCCCCGTGGGGTAAGTGACAGGGAGGTGATGGTGGGATGTGGCTGTGGCTCTGTCACCCTCTGTGCCACAGGCAGCCCCCCCTCCTGCCCCAGGGTCTCCCCCCAAGCTGCTCCCGTGATGCCAGACGTACCCCCTCTCCACCAAGGCGATCTGGTCCTGGATGAAGACACCATTATTCAGCTCTCCACAGGCTTCGGGGGGATCTGCTGGCACCAGGTGGATCTGGTCGTACCTTGTGTTCTCCGAGGAGAAGACAGGCAGGGGTGAGTGAGGGGGGATGGGGGCTCCTTCCCACTCCAGCCCCACCACAGTTGTCCCCTCTGTCCCTTGTCCTTCTCTTCCCTGTGTGGGGTGTGTTTCTGGGGAGATCCAGGGCTCCCAGGTGCAGGGATGCTGGTTGCTCCTTCCCAGCCTCTGTGGAGCCATCACTCAAGAGTGTGCCTAGATCTTGGTGTGACCACGGGGAGGGGAAACTGAGGCACGGCACCATCCCTCCACACAGGTGCTCCTGGGAAACACGTGAAGAGCCCCAGTCTTCTCCTCCAGTCCTTGCTGTACCACGTGTTTCCTACCAGATCCACTCCTGCACCCCCATCCCAACCTCAGGTCTATTCAGTTTATCCTCAGACCAGCTGGTTTGTCTCTGCCATTTCCCACGGGAACCCTGAGAAGCCCTCCTGGAACGTGGCAACACCAGTCTCAGCCCTTGGAGAAGGTCCCACATCCTCCCTGAACACACGTGGGGCCAAACTCCCCCTCCAAAAGCCAAAGGCAGGGACCAGCACCTGCCTCTTTCCTAAGGGGGAGGCTCATGAAAGAGCAATGAGTTCAATTTTTAGAAAAGGCTTCAAACCACCAGGGCCCCAAAAGTGGAGAAATATCAGGATGGAGGGACCCAAACCCTTAATACTTACAAACACACCACCAAAATCCTTGGCTGGAGTGGCAGTGAAGATGTACCGGATGTCTCCAGGGCTCAGCACTTGGAAATACAGGTATTCATGGATGCGTAAGCCTGGGTGTGCAGGGAGAGGGGAGAGGAAGAGGGGAAAAAAAAGGAAAATTGCTGAGAAAAAGGGAAAATAACCAACTACCCCTCCTGAACTGCACCGTGCTGAAGGGAAGGCATCCTTGGGTAATGCCAGCTCCAGGCATGGGGGAGGGATGCACCTGGATCGTGGTGCATGGAGGGGAAATGCACCTGGATCCTGGTGCATGGAGGGGAAATG